ATCTAGAAAGTCGAGTCGCCAACAAGTCCGAGATCGTTAGATGAGGCTGTGTGTGTGACTGTCATGGAGGGGCTTCGTTTGCGATGTTCTCTGTGTACTTTTTGCTTCTTCCTCTACTAGAAAGTCACTTACCGGCTGCTGGGTTCATAGTTGATTGCTGACTACTCAAAACATTTGATCGCGCGAATTGTCTTCGCGGCTCTTGCGGACGACGCCAATCGATACTCATCTATAGCTGCTCTCCCGTCCGTAGTCTAGTCTATGGCTTTGGAGCGCTATTGCAACAGAAGCGCGACGACGCGAGTCACCGTGAAGTCTAAACTGCATCTTAATACTTTTATATTTACGGATTGGTTTGAAATTGGTTCATTTGAACTCCGATGTCTTCATTAAGTTGCCATTTAGGCCCAATTCATTGAGAAGCTAGAGATAGTCGATCCAGATACCACACCAGCTATACCCATTTATAGAGTTTGCGACATGCAGGGTAATATTATCGATAAATCAGGCGATCCTAATTTTGATAAGGTGAGAAATGAATAGAAGTCCTATGTGAACTAAGAGTTCTGTTAACGAAACATGCTTTAGGAGATGGCTTTGAAAATTTATCGTGACATGACTCAGTTGAGCATTATGGACCGTATATTATATGATTCGCAACGTCAAGGTCGTATCTCGTTTTATATGACTAATTCTGGAGAAGAGGTAATGAAGAGTTCATTTTTATGAGAATGCTCAAACTAGATCAGTTTCAGTAATCCGTTTCTTACTTTTACTGGCTGCTATATTTCTCTTGTCATTTTTTGGGATGGATTCGTTTGATTTCAGGCATCACACGTTGGCTCGGCTGCAGCCCTGAAATTTGAAGATCTCATTTATGGCCAATATCGTGAGGTTGGTGTTCTAATGTGGAGGGATTTCCCTTTGGAAAGTTTCATGCACCAGTGCTATGGAAATTCTAAGGATATAGGTAAGTATTGTGCTGCTTTAAACCGCATTCATACTTCGCGTTTGTGGTGAATCCACGATTTAACAATCCGCTAGTAGGTAGAATAATTGTTCTTAGAAAACGCTAGTGGGTGGGATCAGGCGATTTCCATATGATCTTGGTCCCTCATCCTCATTCTGCCTTGTCCGTTCCATTAAAGTTTTTGTCCATTTTTCAAATACTTTTGGCACCATTATGTTTTATTTTTCTTTCAGGAAAGGGACGTCAGATGCCAGTTCACTACGGTTCTGTGAAACATAATTTTGTAACAATCTCTAGTCCTCTCACTACACAATTACCTCAGGTTTATCGCGTGAACTGTCTATTTTGTTATATTAAAATCGGGTTGATCGGAGTTTTTTTAATGGAATTTTTCCAGGCCGTTGGAACTGCATATGCCTTCAAACTGATGCCAAACAATGACCGTGTTGTAGTGGTATATTTTGGTGACGGTGCTGCATCGGAAGGTGATGCTCATGCTGCATTTAATTTCGCTGCCACAACTGCGTAGCCATACTTTGCTGATTTTGCCTCTGTCGTTTATTTATACAGCTACGCTATCTACACTTGTTTTGTATTTTTTCTGATTTTTTTCTGCGAAAATAATCTTTTTGTGTAAACCTTTTGCCCGACATGTATGATCATTAAAAGAATTTTCGGTAGTATCGACAGGACAAATTGTACTTTCACCATCGTGGATCCTGATCCTGCCGTATGTGGGGAGAATGGGTCCACAGCTGCAATAGTGTGCAATTTTTCACCACTCGACGTGCCTGAAAGCGAGGCCGGAGGCCCTGTGATGCCCGCATGCTTTCCCCATACTCCACCCGCGCTATCCCCAAGGTGCAGCGTGCAGTGAGCATTTGGTAAGGTTGTAGCTGGGTTGTGAGGGGATCGTACTGTAAGAGCAAGTTCGAAGGGCCTGCTGACACCACCATTTCGCCCACTTTGATGCTGTCCATACTCTGCTTGCAGATCTCTGCTATCTGATTTTCTGTTCTCGTCTACGCTGTCTCGTCTACAAAGCCTTTCGTGATCAATATAGCTTCGCGTATTCCACTTTTTCACGCATAATAAATAGTCTGCCCAGCCTGAAACTCCTATCTGTTACATAGGGGTACACACTCCTTGGACCGCATTCATACTTCGTGACTTGAGCGATTCAGTCGCGCGACTGCACCAACAGCGCTCCACCGCTAATCCTTAGACCTCTACAGCGTGTTCAGTCTTGTTCAAGACAGAAGTTCTTCCAACGTTGAAACGGCCCAGCGATTAGCCATGGAGCGCGAGTTGGTCACAGTCGCTCAATTCCCAGATCGCGCGACTGAGTCGCTTAAAGACAGCTCCCGCAATACATGGATAGTTGCTTTTCAATTACGAAACAGTAGCTGATAAGTAATTCTCCCAAAGAAGAAAAAAGCAAGAAGAGTTCTCAAGAACACCATAAACAAAATCGCTCCCTGTCAGTCACACCGCCCTGCGGTCTCTGTGCAACCCCTGGCTCACAAATCCCTTTTTCGCATCTCCCAGTAATGGATATCATCCAATGCAAAAAAGAATACGGAAAACAACAAAAACACGGAAGAAAAACTCTTGAAAAGGAAAATAAACTTTAAAAACTCGGCGTCCGAATTAAGGGTTACGGTAGCGTGCATCTTTTAGTGTGTTTAGTGCGTCGAGCTTTTGCACCA